CCACGCAGCAGACATGCATTCATGTGTGCAAGGATGCTCATGGCAGAAGGGCTCTTCATAGTCCACCACAGACAGCAACCCAATGCCCAGCAATGGTCAAAGGGATGAATGAATGGTGGACTATTACATATCATGATGGAATACCACACAGCCATGAGAATGAACTACAACTGCAGTCAATGCTGCAGATGAGTGGCAGAAAAAAAATGTTAAAAAGAGAAACTACTGGGCTGTGACTGTGGCTCAGTGGTAGAACACTTGCTTGGCATGTATGAGGCACTGGGTCTGAGCCTCAGCACCACATAAAAATAAAATGAAGGTATTGTGTCCACCTACAACTAAAATTATTTTTAAAATAAAATAATAATCAAAATTTTAAAAAAAACAGAAACTACATGCAAGGCCTCTGAATTACACATATTAAGTTAAAATGGTTAAAATGGGCCAGGACCCATGGCACATGCCTGTAATCCCAGCAACTTGGGAGGCTGAGACAGGAGGATCACAAGTTCAAAGCCAGCCTCAGCAACAGTGAGGTGCCAAGCAACTTAGTAAAACTCTGTCTCTAAATAAAATAGGGCTGGGGAAGTGCCTCAGTGGTTGAGTGCCCCTGAGTTCAATCCCCAGTATCCAAAACAAAAGCAAACAAACAAAAAAAAGGATTATTTATTACTGATAATGTTGACCTTGATCAGCTGATGAAAGTGTTGGGTTTCTCCACTGTGAAGTTATCCCTTTCTCCCTCTTTCCACACTGTTATGTTTGGAAGGAAGTTACTATGGTCAGCCCACACTTTAAAAATCGGCAATTGGGCTGGAGTTGTGGCTCAGTTTTAGAGTGCTCGCCTAGCATGAGCGAGGAACTTGGTTTGATCCTCAGCGCCACATAAAAATAAATAAATAAAATAAAGGTATTGTGTCCAACTACAACTAAAAAATAAATAATTTAAAGAAATGGGCAATTATCTCTATAAGTATTAGGACATTTGTCTATGAGAGACTTTTTTCCTTTTTCTTTTTGTAATGTTTTCTTCAACATTAAAAACATTGTTAATAACATGAAAAGAAACAATAGAGAAAAGGGAATTTATCATGTATAGCTCAATGAATTTTTACAACTTGACAAAACTGTGTATCAACAGTGCCCTGGGCTGGGGATGTGGCTCAAGCGGGTAGTGCATTCGCCTGGTATGCGTGGGGCACTGGGTTCGATCCTCAGTACCACATAAAAATAAAACAAAAATGTTGTGTCCACTGAAAACTAAAAAATAAATATTAAAAAATTCTCTCTTCATCTCTCTCTCTCTTTAAAAAACAAACAAACAACAACAACAACAAAAAAAAAAACAAAAACAAAAAAACAGTGCCCTGGAAGCCCCCTGTGTTCCCTCTCTGAATAATCATGGTACCAACTTCTCTTCCTCCTCCTTTTCCTCCTCCTCTTCCCCACCTCTTTTTTTTTTTATGGTACTGGTGATTGAACCCAAGGGCACTTCTTTATATTCCCATTTCTTTTTATTTATTTTTTTATTTTTGAGACAGAGCCTTGCTAAGTTGCCCAGGCTGGCCTCAAACTTGGGATCCTCCAGCCTCAGCCTCCTGAATGGCTATGATTACATGCTGTACCACCACAGCCAGCCCATTTTAAACTTCTTTTTTTTTTTTGTACCAGGGATTGAACCCAGGGAATTTTAACCACCGAGTCACATCTCCAGCCCTTTTTAATATTTTATTTAGAGACAGGACCTCACTGAGTTGCTTAGCACCTTGCTAAGTTGCTAAGGCTGGCTTTGTTTTACTTTATTTTTGTTTTTTGCAGTACTGGGGATTGAACCGAGAGCTACATCCCTGACCATTTTTATTTTTTATTTTGAGATAGAATCTTGCCAAGTTGTCTACACTGGCCTCAAACCTGCAATCCTCCTGCATCCGTTGCTGTAATTACAGGCGTGTGCTACCTTGTCTATCAGTAAATAATGTTGATGGTGTGGCCTTGAGATGGTATGAAGAAAATGGCACATTACCCCTGGGGTCTTCCTGCTACTCACCCATAACCTCAGGCTTACCAGGAGAGAAACATCCAACTCTAACAGTGGAACATTCTACACATTACCTGACCAGGACTCCTGAAAACATCAGTCATCAAGAATGATGACAGAATAAGAAATTGTCACTACCAAGAATTGTCCAAAGAGACCTACCTAATGGGTAACTTTCATGTGGCATCCTAGACAGATCCTGGAACAGAAAAGGGACATAAGGGGCTGGGGTTGTGGCTCAGCGGTAGAGTGTTCCCTTAGCATGTGCAAGGCCCTGGGTTTAATCCTCAGCACCACATAAAAATAAATAAATAAGGGCTGGGGTTGTGGCTCAGTGGTAGAGCACTTGCCTTCTGTGCATGCGGCAATGGGTTCAATCCTCAGCACCACATAAATAAATAAAATAAAGGTATTGTGTCCAACTACAACTAAAAAATAAATATTAAAAAAAAGAAATAGGACATTAAATGAACTAAGGCTATCTAAATAAACTGTGGACTTTAGTTAATTAATGAGAGAAAGAGTCAATTTTTTATGAAACTTTACCTAACTTTACTGAGTGAGCCAAATCTGGGGGAGACACCGACAGAAAACAGCTTTTCTCATCCATGCTTTTCAAACCTGCTCTGTTGTTTCTCAGAGTCCCCATCCTTGCCCCTTGACATCTTCACTGTGATTTCATGACTTTCTCATTTTCAGGAATAAAGAGCCCAAATTAATTTAAATCACAATTTATTTCTCATATTCAATATAAGACTTTGTCCCAATCCTCCTCTTAGACATGACTGAAACCTGAGTCTATAAAGTCTCCTTTTATACAATGAACACTTCTGTTATCGTCACCTTGGTTCACTGAGAGCTGACATTTCTCATTTGTACTTCTGATCAATAGATAGATAGATAGATAGATAGATAGATTTTTTTTTTTTTGAGACAGGGTCTCACTATGTGGCCCAGGCTATTCCTGAACTCTTCGGCTCAAGTGATCCCTGTGCCTCAGTCTCCTGAGTAGCTGTGATTACAGACATATGCCAACCTAGCCAGCTGAAATCTACATTTGGGGGAGAGGGTCCCAGGGATTGAACTCAGGGGCACTCAACCACTGAGCCATATCTCCAGCCCTATTTGGTATTTTATTTAGAGACAGTATCTCACTGAGTTGCTTAGCACCTTGCTTTTGCTGAGGCTGGCTTTGAACTTGTGATCCTCCTGCCTCCGCCTCTTGAGCCACTAGGATTACAGGTATGCACTACTGCGCCTGGCTAAAATCTACATTTTTAACAGAACCATCTAAAAGGAGGTCACAGGCATCATGAAACTTCTCCTTTAAATAACAATGCATTAGTCTCCTAAGAAAAGGATAAGTGCTGGGATTGTAGCTCAGTGGTGGAGTGCTTACCTCACATGTATGAGGCACTGGGTCCAATCCTCAGCACCACATAAAAACAAATAAAGAAACAAAATAAAGTTACTGTGTTCATCTACAACTAAAAATGTTTTTAAAAAAAGAATAAGGATAAAATCCCATATAATCATGATACTGTGTTTATATCTAAGAAAATTAATATTCACTCCAGAATATCATTTAATCTGCAGTTTATATTCACATGCCCTCAGTTTTCTCAAAAATGTCTTTCATGCCTTTAAATACTTTATTGTTGTTAGATCCAGGATCCAATCAAGTCCACGTATTGCATTTGGTTCTTATGTCTCTTTAGTCTCTTGGTTCTAGAACAGGCCTGTTTTAGTCAGTTTTTGTGTTGCTATGATGAAAATACCTGACAAGAACAACCTGGAGGAGGAAAAGTTTATTTGGAGCTCACAGTTTTACAGGTCTCAGTCCATAGATGGCTAACTGCATTGCTCTGGGCCCAGGATGAGGCAGGACACCATGGGGGAAGGGCCCAGCAGAGGAGAACTGCTCAGCTCATATCAGAGTCAGGAAGCAGGGGCAAGGGGCAGGGGGCAGATGAACCCTTCCAGGGCATGCCCCCAGTGATCCATCTCCTCTAGCCATGCCCCACCTACCTATTGTACCACCCAGTCCATTCAAAGTAGATGGACTGATTAGGTCACAGCTCTCACAATCTAACCATTTTACCTCTGAATATTCCTGCATTAACAGGAGCTTTTGGGGGGTACTTCATATTCAAACCATAACAAGGCCCTAGTCCTTTTTATTGTTTTCTCCCATAATGATGTTGATCATTTTGTGGACTGAACACAGTGGTAATCCACTACTTAACTACACTTCCCAAGCCCTTTAAAATTTTTTTCTTTTGTTTGTTTTATTATTGTGAGGCAGAGTCTTGCTAAGTTTCCCAGGCTGGCCTAAAACTTGAGATCCTCCTGCCTCAGCCTCCCAAGTCACTGGGATTACGGGCATGCCCCACCATGCCCAGCTGACGTTAACAATTTTGAAGAGTCCAAGCCAGTTGCCATAAGGAATAGCCTAAAGCATAGATTTTTTTTTTCATTAGTTCTTTAATCTCTTCCCAATTCTTACACAGAAGGGAGGAGGGTGAGGGAGGCTTTCTTTAGAATGCAGAATTTTTATCCTTTCTTATTTTTGGATTAGAGAAATGAACTGAGATTTGGGGACAACTGGAACATACCCATCCCTTGTCTGATTTCACAGTTGTTAGAAGGGACTATGGAGCATTCTTCTGAGAGAAACAGTGAACTTAATGGGCCCCTGCTTGGCCTGAACTGTGTGTCCAACAGGGCCCTACCTCATGGGCACCATGGGAAAGAGTCTTGACTACCCACAGACCTAATTTTCTCCACCACCCTCCTTGTGCATGAAATAAATGAGCCTCCTACCCTGTACCTGGAGAAGAGCTAGTCATTTATCCTCAGGGACTCAGAAACCCTTCAGGCCTATTGCCAAAACACTATCCTTGACCCTGAGTAGTAGGTGGAGCTGAGGGATCATGACCCAAAGCCAAGGGTTGATCTTCCAACTTTGTTTAGTGATTCAACTTGGATATCAGATGACCAGGACAGCAGCCGGACCAATCTGATAGAAGGTGATATTTATAAAAGGCCCTCTCATCTGGTGCTAGAAACACAACTCTGCTGATCCCAAGCACCTGCCTTTACAGGTACCTTTCTGTACCCATACTATCTATTCTGGGAACTAGTAGAAATGGAGAGATGGGGTACCCTGGGTAGGTATAGGAGCCTGAGTTCTAGTCCTTTCTGCTCAGTTCTGGACCTCTTCTCTATTTTTAAATGAGGACTTTCAACTAGGCCGTCTCCAAGGGTCCTCACTTGGAGTAGAGAGAAGGGGAAGAAGTCTACTCCTGGCACAAGGGTAGTCCTGGCCCTAGCTGTAGCCCACCTCAGCCTCCAAGACCATGAGGGAATAGGTACTCAGCCTTGGAAGAGGCATCCTTCTTGATACAAAGAATGCCATCGGGGTAGGGCCATCAATCCTGGGGCCTTGGCATCCTCAGTGTTGCTGGGGCTCCATGTTCCCTGGCATGCAGAGGGTATCAGCAGGAAGCCTGCACTGACTGGAACCCTTTGGCACAATGTCCAACATACACCCTGTGCCAGGGCCTGCCAGGGGGCTGTCCTTGGCTTTCCTGTTTTAGAGTGGTCACTTTCCTCCACAATTCTTAGCCTCAGAATTGGAAACTAGGGGAATGGGGTAGAGAGAGCCAAGCCTGGGAATTCAGATGCTCAGTTGGAAATCCTGCCCTGCCTTTACAGCCCTCAGATTCCGTGATGTGTGAAGAGTGAGCCCCCGGGGAATAGGACCTATGATAGATGTATCTTAGTCTTTCTGGTGTCCAGCTGAGACCCAAGCATAAAACATGTATTAGTGCTTATTGAAGGATGAATGACTGAATGAATGACTTCACCTCCCTCCTCAGCCTAGCTCTCCTTCCTTTTTCCCAGCAGTCAGCAGAGATGGTGTTATCCCAATCTCTTTCCGTCTCAGCCACAGAGCTGCTCCTGGCTGCTGCCATCTTCTGCCTGGTATTCTGGGTGGTAAGAGCCTCAAGGCCTCGGGTCCCCAAAGGCCTAAAGAGTCCACCAGGGCCCTGGGGCTGGCCCCTGATAGGGCACATGCTGACCCTGGGGAAGAACCCTCACCTGGCACTGACAAAGCTCAGCCAGAAGTATGGGGACGTGCTGCAGATCCGCATTGGGACCATGCCTGTGGTGGTGCTGAGTGGCCTGGACACCATCCGGCAGGCCCTAGTGAAGCAGGGTGATGACTTCAAGGGCCGGCCAGACTTCTACACCTTCACCCTTGTTACTGATGGCCAGAGCATGATCTTCAATACAGACTCTGGACCAGTGTGGGCTGTCCGCAAACGCCTGGCCCAGGATGCCCTGAAGAGTTTCTCCATAGCCTCAGACCCCACTTCTGTGTCCTCCTGCTACTTGGAGGAGCACGTGAGCAAGGAGGCTGAGTGCCTAATTGGCAGGTTCCAGAAGCTGATGGCAGACTCTGGGCACTTTGACCCCTACAACGAGGTGGTTTTGTCAGTGGCCAAAGTCATTGGTGCCATGTGCTTTGGGAAGCACTTCCCTCAGAGCAGTGAGGAGATGCTCCATATTGTGAAGAACACCCATGAATTTGTGGAGACTGCCTCCTCTAGGAATCCTGTGGACTTTTTACCCATTCTTCGCTACCTGCCCAACCCTGCCCTGGAAAGGTTCAAGAACTACAATAAGAGGTTCCTGCAGTTCCTGCAGAAAACAGTCCAGGAGCACTATCAGGACTTTGACAAGGTGAGTATGGGATGCAGGTGGTGACGAGGCACCTGCAGGACCAGGGTGTGGCCCCTCCTACCCTGCTCCAAGATGTCTGTTCAGTTAATGTGCCGCTAAGGACAAGGAAGGTTCTGGGACTCCCTGGAGAAGCTGAGTGATATAGAGCCATCTCCTCCTCCTTTCTGGGCCTCACTTTCCTCATCTTTTAAATCTTCCCTTCAGCTGCTCAAAGCCCCAGACAGAAAAGGCCTTTGAATGGGGTCCTGGCAGAACTGTGTAATGTGGGGGGCCATTATTATGCATGAGAAGGCTTTTGGTCTGTAGGAACCTGAAACCAACAGAGGCTAATCCTCAGTTTCATGTCATTTTTTCTTCCTTGTGTTCACACCAACCTCTTCCTCCTTTGAAACTGGATCCCTAGGATCTAGTAACCAGATGGGGTGATTGGAAGAAAGGTTCAAAGTGGCATGAAATGACATTTTAAGCCAAATCAGGGCTGCTACCAGCTCCTGCCCTGAGCCCCAGCCCACTGCTTGGAGGCCAGGGGGACTGCCAAACCCCTAGGACACCTCTTGGTGTGTGTGGCAGGGAAGGCCCAGCGTTTGGCCCTGGAAATGTCAAGGGTGCCTTTAATCTTGTGCCCCCTCAGAACAGTGTCCAGGACATTGTAGGCGCCCTGTTCAAGCACAGCGAGAAGGCCTCTAGAGCCAATGGTGGTCTCATCCCCCAGGAGAAAATTGTCAACCTTGTCAATGACATCTTTGGAGCCGGTAAGACCCCTGCCCCTCCATCCATCAGAGCCCTCTGTCCACCCATACTCTTGCCCAGCCACTAACCTGCCAAACACATTTCCACTGTTACAGGATACAGAGACCTGGCTAAGATCAGGGTTTGAGCTTAATCTGTGACGCCAACTCCCAGTGGAAACTCAATCAGGTCCCTCTCCTCTTCTGGGCCTCTGCTTCTCCATCTGAACAATAAAAATTCTCTGACCTGTAAATATAAGCCCCTGTAATTCTAGCAGCTAATTATGAAGTCTGTGTCTCAAATTTATTTGAAGAGACTCAGCCCCTGCCCTCAGGAAACTCATGAGCTGTGGCCAGAGAAAACAAAGCTTGCTGCCTTCATGGTGGATGCTTGGTCCACGGTGGTCTCCTTGTTCTTGTCTTCCTTCCTCCTTCTCACCTCACTCTGTGCTTCCCAGGATTTGACACTGTGACAACAGCCATCTCCTGGAGCCTTATGTACCTTGTGACAAAGCCTGAGATACAGAAGAAGATCCAGAAGGAGTTAGGTACATTGTGTCCCCCAATCCTCTAACTGGGAGAAACCTTGGGATCCCATGTCATTTGTTCAATTTACAAATAACTGTTTTGTGCCTACTATATGCAATCCTGGGCATATAGTGAGGCCCACTAGTGCCTGGAAGACATTGGGGGAAGGGGATTTGTGAGATCTCAGACATTTGAATAGACATAGCCCCCACATGGAGGGACACGTAGTATAATGGAGGACACCGATGCAAAGAGCAGTCAGAGCAGCCCCTAAGCTCTGTCCATCCTGTATGTTCTGCAGATACCGTGATTGGCACGGAGCGGCAGCCCAGGCTCTCTGACAGACCCCAATTGCCCTACATGGAGGCCTTCATCCTGGAGCTCTTCCGACACACTTCCTTTATACCCTTCACCATCCCTCATTGGTAAAGCTGCCTACTCTGCCCTCCCCAAGTCGCTGCCATGTTCCCTCCTCCCAGCTTCTCATTCCCTGGCTCTGGCTGTGGCCTGGCTCTTCTTCCTGGCCAGGACCCCAGCCTCCAGTCTGTCTTCACCCAGTCTAATCTTGATCCAACCATGCAGCTCGCAAAAGAAAATCACCTTTTTTGACCTCAGCTATCACTCACCTCCACTCATATATCCTTCCTGCAAGTGCCCACTCCTCCAGCCTGGTCATCTTCACCGACCCTCACAAACATGATCCAGCCAGCTTCCAATTTTGCTTATGCTGGGCTTTTTCTTATGCTTCTGCCTGGAAGGATTTCTACACATTTCTCAGACTCCCAGAATCCTATCTTTGCCCAAGGTCAATCCTGACCTGGGCTTCCCCTTTCCCAGAACCTGTTTTGACACATCCTGGCACAGCTGTATCCTCTGATGTCTTCTAGGACTTACAGTCCTTGACCCTAAGAGTTAGTGAACATTTACTTCTGCCCACATGTTGATCTAGTTATTCATGGAGTAAGAGGCTTGAAATACCCCAGAGCTGGCCCAGACCACCTGCTTCTTGGCTCCATAGTTCAGTGAACATGTGTTGAAGTTGGAGAACAGAAGCCAAGGAAATGGAAGGATATTTCCCCTTGTCCCTGACTCTCACACTCCCTCCCAGAATGGAGTATGAAGACTGCAGTGAGCAGATTGGGGTGGGGTGGATGAAAGAGCAAGACATCTTTCCAAACCCTGAGCCTAACAGATCCTTCTTCCCTCCTCAGCACAACGAGGGACACAGCACTAAATGGCTTCCACATTCCCAAGGATCGCTGTGTCTTTATAAACCAGTGGCAGGTCAACCACGACCCGTAAGTACACATCCCTTATGGAAAAACGTGTACAAGTTCAGCAATCAGGAAGGCTGTTTTTCCTGGTTAAATAAGGAGCCTCAATTGCTATATAGCTATATATATAATTATTCTTTCTTTCTTTAGTGTTGTAGTACTGGGGATTAAACAAAGGGTCATGCTACCATTGAGCTACATCTGTAGCGCTGCCTCCTCCTTTTTGATACAGTCTCACTAAGTTGCTGAGTCTAGTCTGGAACTTACAACCCTCCTGCCTCAGCCTTCCCAGTCCCTGGGATTATAGGCATGCACAGGGGCACTCAGCTGCTTTATAGCCTATTTTATGTGACAAAACATAGATCCCTGTTTTCCAAACTTCAGTGCACATACAAATGGACCCAGAAGCTTGTTGCAGATTATGCCCTATCCTCCAGGACCTACTTTGGTAGATAGGAGAAGGTGCCTCAGGGGATTCTAATGGGAATGCCCCAGACATCACTTTAGTCTACTGGGAAGGGGACCAAAGAATTTAACATCTGGTGATATGCTCTTGAATACAAAGGTGCTATTGATATTTGTGCTATCAATAATTACTCCAAAATAATAAGCATAAAACAGGACATACTGTTGATTCTTCTTGCTAATGGCATATCTATAGTAGGATGGAGATGGACCCATTTTTCTTCTTTTAATTTCTTTTAGAGAAAGCATATTTTTTAAAAACAACAGATTATTGTTAAAAAGCACTATCTTTAAGGCTGCTCATTTCAGAGAATTTTGTAAAAAGAAATAAACATCAAAGTTCAGTTTGATCACTTTCTCACTAAGTTTTCATTGCTTTCAAACTATTCTAACATTTGTGTTCTCAACAGAAGTCTATTCAAAAGTCTCCCCCAAGCCAGATGCAGTGGCACACACCTGTAATCCCAGAAATTCAGGAGGCTGAGGCAGGATGATCACAAGTTCAAAGCCAGCCTCAGCAACTTAGTGAGGCCCTAAGCAACTTAGTGAGACCTTGTCTCTAAATAAAATATGAAAAAGGGTTGGGGATGCGGCTCAGTGTTTGAGCACTCCTGGATTCAATCCTCAGAACCAAAACAAAAAAGTCTCCCCTAAGACTTTTCTCCCAGGGCCTCTCTAGCCCAGAAATCCCATCTCCTCTGTCACTCTTGCAGGGAGCTGTGGGAGGATCCCTTTGAGTTCCAGCCTGAGCGATTCCTCACTGCCAACAACAGGGCCATCAACAAGACCGTGAGTGAGAAGATGATGCTCTTTGGCCTGGGCAAGCGCAGGTGCATTGGGGAGATTCCAGCCAAGTGGGAGATCTTCCTCTTCCTGGCCTTCCTACTGCAGCAGCTGGAGTTCAGTGTGCCACCAGGCGTGAAGGTGGACCTGACCCCCATCTACGGGCTAACCATGAAGCATGCCCGCTGTGATCAAATCCAGGCACGGTTACGCTTCTCCAAGTGAAGAAAGCACCATCATGCCAAGGTGGGGGAGGGGGTGCTCATGGGTCCTTAGCCCTTGTTTCTTTTCTTTTTAAGAAAAAAAGAAAAACAGCTTTACTAAGATATAATTCTTATACTATATAATTCACCTCCTTCCATGTCTTTATAGAATTGCACAACCATCACCACCACTGATTTTAGAACATTGTATTACCCACAAAAAGCCTCATACTCCTTAGCATTTAGTGACTGCTCCTCCATCATGCCTCTCCTGCCCCACTAGCCACGGGAAATCACTAGTCTACTTTCTGTCTCTGTAGATTTGTCTACTCTGGACACTTCAGATAAATGGAATGATACAATATGTGGTCTGTGACTGGTTTCTTTGACTTAACATAATTCATACAAGTACTACCCATGTCAAACATATATCAACAAGTCCCATTTTCTGAGTCCTGACACCAGGCCTGGGTCTATTTCCTCAGTCATTGATGGACATTCTTCCTTCCATTTTTGTGTGACACAAGTCTTTGAACACTTGAAGGGAAAAGGAAGGAAGAGATTCAGCCCTGAACTGGGATTCCTCATATCCCACTCTCAAGAGGTAAAACATGTGACTTCTTACGAGGCCTTAATTTATCCATCTACAACCCAAGGAGAATAAGCTCCCAGAAGTGCTTGGTTTACCTGCAAAAAAGCCCAGGTCTCATCAAAGGACACTATCAAGAGATTGAAAAGACAATTCACAGAATGGAAGAAAATGTTTGCAAAACATATTAAACTGGACACAGTGGCACACACCTGTAATCCTAGAAAGTTGGGAGGCCAAGGTAGGAGGATCATGAGTTCAAGGCCAGCCTCAGCAACTTACTGAGAACCTATCTCAAAAAAAAAAAAAAGAGGGGTAGGGGGTTGCTGAGGATGTGACTCAGTTGTACAGCACAGTGGATTCAATCCCCAGTACCAAAATAAAACAAAACAAAACAAAATATATTGATAAGGAATTAATGCCCAGAATATATAAAGAACACCTACAACTCAACCACAAAGAAACAAAAAAATCCAATTCAAAAATGGACAAAAGACTTGAAAAGTCAGTTCTCTAAAAAAGATATACAAACATCCGATACACACAAGAAAAGATGTCTGACATCATTAGTCACTTTGGAAATGCAAGTCAAAACCACAGTGAGACACCACTTCATGTCCCCCAGGATAGTTACAATTTTTAAAAATGGAAAATAAGAAATGTTGGCAAGTATGTGGAGAAAGTGTAACCCTGGTGCATTGCTAGTGGGAATATAAAATGGTGCAGCCACTGTGAAGAAAAAGTTAAACATAGAAAAATCATATGATTCAACAATTCAACTGCTAAGCATATATCCTAAAGAATTGAAAAAAGGTATTGTTGTTGTTGTTGTTTTGGTACCAGGGATTGAACCCAAGGGCACTTTACCACTGAGCACTGAACCACATCCCTAGCCCTTTCTTATATTTTATGTAGAGATAGGGTTGCTGAGTTGCTTAGGGCCTCACTAAGATGCTGAGAGACTGGCTTTGAACTCACCATCCTCCTGCCTCAGCCTCCTAAGCTGCCGGTATTACAGATGTGTGCCACTGTGGCTGGCGAAAACAGATGTTTAAGCAAAACCTTGTACATGAATATTCATAGCAGCATTATTTGCAGTAGCCAAAGGGTGAAAACAGCCTGCTGTCCAACAACACATGAATGGGTAAACAAAACATGGTAAACACACACATGGAAACACTATTTAACCACTGGAAGGAATGAAGTTCTAGTACAGGCACAACATGGATAAATCTCAACCACACTGGAAGAAAGCCAGACACAAAAGGGAAAATATTGCCTGATTTCACTTATATGAAGGAAATGGAATAGTTAAACTCCTAGAGAGAGGACAGGAGAGGTTAACTGGAGATAAGAGGAGGAAAGAATGGGGATATTGTTTAAGGAGCGCAAGAGTTTCTGTTTGGGATAACGAAAAGTTCTGGAAGTAGATGGTGGTGATGGTTGCACAACTTCGTGGATGTACTTAATTAACACCACCTAATTGTAAGCCTAAAATGGTAAATTGCACATATATTTTACCACAGTCTGTTTTAAAAAGGGAAGTATCAGTGCTAGGCATGGTGGCACATGTAATCCCGGGATTTGGGAGACAGAGACAGGAGGATCACAAGTTCAAAGCCAGCCTCAGCTAAGCAAGGCGCTAAGCAATTCAGTGAGACCCTGTCTCTAAATAATATGCAAAATAGGGCTGGGGATGTGGCTCAGTGTCAAGTGCCCCTGAGTTCGATCCCCAGTACATTCTCCTCAAAAAGGCAAGTAACACAGTAAAATAGTATGTTTGATAAAAAGAGATGAGCTGTCAAAGCCACAGAATGACATGGAAGAACTTTTGATGTATATTGCTAAGTCAAAGAACCCAAACTGAAGAGGATCCATGCTGTCTGGTTCCAACTCTGTGACACTCTAGAAAAGGCAAAACTATGGAAGCAGTAAAAATACCAGTGGTTTCCAGGAGTTTGGGATAAGAGATGAATGACTAGGAGGAGCACAGAGGATGTTTAGAGCAGAGGCTGTTTAACCTGAGACACAGATTATCACATGTGTCAGAACCCATAGAACATTCAACACTAAGAGTGACTATGGACTTTAGTTAATAACAATGTATCCACAAATTGCAAATAATCATAAAATATCAGGGAAACAGGGAGCAGAGGAGCAGGTATCTGAAAAATCTCTGTACTTTCTACTCATTTTTCTATAATCTAAAACTCCTAAAAATATTTTTAAAAGCAAGTAATACAACAAAATGTTGCCAAAACATATTTAAAAAGGCTCAGGCCTCCCCTCTTCTCCTCACTGTCCCTGATGGTGTCCCATGCTCATGTCCACAGTGCCAGACAGAGCCCCTGCCTCCCCTCTAGCTCCCTAATTTCACCTGCAAAGTAAAAGCAGAGAGTTGGATTAGTTGCTCTCCTAAGAGCCCAAGAATTGAAGTGCATAATGAGTTTGCTTTTTCCTTTTCAAGATGCAAAGGCTGTAGTGTTCTATGTGATCAAGGTCTTTCCCTCTGAAAAACAGAGACAGGAAGGCAGAGCTTGCAGATGGGGCAAGTTGAACCCCTTCCCACCACACACACTTGATCTGATCCTCAGTCCCCTTAATGCCCCTTACTTTCTGAGGACACAGCTTTGCGTTTGAAGGAGTCAAATGACTACAGAGGGATTCCAGGATACTCTAGGATTCAAGTGTGGGAAATAGAGGAAGGAAATGATGGTGGAATCTTCTGGAAGAGTCCAAGAAATAAGTAGAAAGGATACTGAAAGAATAGCTGTGCCCACCCATCCATCATGACCCCCAGCTTTCTGCCCCTTGGGCAGCAGAGAGGATCTCTATCAAGTGAAGCCTACTTTCTTACTGTATTAGAGATGCGTTCTGTAGAAAAAAAGGAGCCATTAATAGCTCAGATTGAAAATTTAGTAAGAAGGCAGTTCAAACAGTGCAGGTCTTAGGTGCTGTTGACATAGGAGTGGGTTTACAGGGCTTTGACCATGCTGATACCTGTCCAGATTGCCCTGTTGACATCATCACACCCCTGCCTGGGGGCTACAGTACCAGGAGGAAATTTTTCTGCTCAGAGACTGCCGTCTGAGTAGGGAGATGCAACCCAGCCCTGGGAATCCCAAGAGAAATGGACTGCTTGTCTGAGGGAGGAGACATGGCCTGGCCCAGGGAGCTCCAGTCTAAGCAGACATGGCTCCCTCCTTCAGAGCCCCTAGACTGGTGGAAGGGTCCCTGGTGCATCCTGGTGGCACATATAAGGACCCCTCAACAAGCAACAACATTACCATACTTTATCAATCCAAGACCCAGGTCCCTGGGGAGTTTTAGGACAGGCCTGAGATGGCCCAGTGGTCATTCAATGATCACTACCTCATCTGGCTCCTGGTGAACTGGGTTGGCCTGGGCTTCTCACGCACATCTGGCCAATCTTTAACTGGCTGCCCTAGGGCTCCCCTCTGACTAGAGCCAAGGTAGGAGGAACTGGACACAGAGACTTTGCTCCCTTGCTTACCACTGCTGTCCCCATAGCAGGCTGCAAGCAGACTGGGCCAGTTCTGTCCTGCCCCTTCCACCATCTCAGGCTATTCTCAATCCACCCAGGAGATGGGCACTGCTATACCCACTCTGGAGATAAAGGACTCCAGGTTCAAAGGGCACAAGCTGGAATTGGTGGGGGAGGGATTCAGGACTGTACTCTGCTCTATTCCACATCCAGAGTTTTCCTGCTTGTGTCTCACTGCCTGCCCCCAAGCCAGGACAGTCTGCATAGAACAACACAGCTTGGAAATGAAACAGGATCAGCTGACCAGGTGGCATGCCTCTGGCACTCAGCCAGAGGACTAGGAAACATAAGTTCAGGTGTGGATGACACTGGGCAAGACCCTCCCTGTCACCGGACTCAGACCCCCCTCTTCAGCCACCTCTGAATCTGAAGATGGGGTACCAACATTGACCCCTGTTTTGCCAATCTCATTTAACCCATTAAGTCCCAAGGTTTTCTTTTCTTCCTTTCTTTCTTTCTCTCTCTCTCTCTCTCTCTTTTTTTTTTTTTTTTTTTTGGTGGTACTGGGGATTGAACCCAGGGCCTTGCACATGCAAAGCAAGCTCTCTACCAACTGAGCTATATCCCCAGCCACAAGTCCCAGGTTTTTAATTCTGAGAATATTTCAATGAAATTAACACAGGTACACTAAAATAGGTTGGAAATCATAATCTAGAGTTTATATACCCTTTTGATATTGTTTCAAATATATATAATTGTATGTGATACATATAAAGAATATTTTTTTCCAAACGTTCTAATCATCCACCTGTTTTCTCAAAATAATAGAATTCTAATAACATAATATTTGTTTCAAATTGACCCTAAGTGGTATATTTTTTTTAATATTTATTTTTTAGTTTTCGGTGGACACAACATCATTATTTTATTTTTATGTGGTGATGAGGATCGAACCCAGCGCCCCACGCATGCCAGGCGAGAGTGTTACCGCTTGAGCCACATCCCTAGCCTCTAAGTGGTATATATGTTGCTCAATTTCTTTTTTCCCCATTTGTTTGTTTGTTTATTTGTTTTGGAAGGATTGAACCCATGGGCACTCTAACGCTTAGCTGCATCCCCAGCCTTGTTTAAGTTTTATTTTGAGACAGAGTCTCACTAAGTTGCCCAAGCTGGCCTTGAACTTGCAATCCTCCTGCCTCAGCCTCCCAAATCTCTGGAGTTACAGAAGTGTACCATCATACCTGGAAAATTTAAGTTTTTTAATAGGT